AGGAAAGGGAAAGTGTCCATGAGAGCAAGGGGGCAGGTAAGGGGGCGTGCATCTCCTTGGCATGGCTGGGATCCACCCACAGCTGCATGGAGCACTACGCTGCCTGCACCCGGTGCATGCAGAATGGCGGTCAGGGGCCATCAACAGGATGTGGTTTCAGCCACTCTGAGCCCCCCCACCAGGCACCCGATTTCCATGGGGAGGACACAGGGCATTACAGACCAGGGCTGAGGTTTTCAGGAGGGAGTGCCCCTGTCCCAGTGCCCAGCTCTCACGGAGAGAGCCGACCGGAACCCCTCTGGCTGGGAGGACAGCCTACAGAATGAGGGTAGTACCCTGACTCATGCAGCGCTTTTCATTCCCGGAGCTCAGCGTCCCTTGCAATGTTGGGGCAGGGTCACTATCCCCCTTTTGCAGCCGGGGTGTGAGTTCTCCTGGGTCACCCAGCGACAGAGCTGGGAATGGCCGATCAGGTAGAGTAGAGGGGTGGGCATCACCTCCGGAGACAGCATCAGCGAGGCCATTACTGGCTGCTGCATCCAGCTCTGGTGTCCGCACTTCAGAAAGGATGGGAACCAATTGGAAAGGGTTCAGGAAAGAGCTACAAGGACAATCTGAGGTCTGGAAAACCTGCCTTCCAATGAGGGTCTGAAGAAACTCAATCTAATCCCTAAAAAATTAAGAGGGGACTTGCTCATGGTCTACAAGTACCTCAGCGGGGAGGAGATTTCTGAGACAGCCGAGGGCTCTTTAACCTAGCAGGAAAAGGCAGAACGAGATCCGGTGGCTGGAAGCTGAAGCTAGACAAATTCAGACTAGAAATAAGGCCTGATTTCGAACACTGATGGGAATTAGCCATCAGAACAGCTGACCTCAGGGTGGGGAGGAGTCTCTGTCATTTTAATTCTTTAAATCAGGCCCAGATATTGTTCTAAAAGATCCGCGATAGCTCAACCCCACGTCGCGCGCGCGCTGCTGGGATCGCTGGGCGAGGCTCTAAGCTCTGTGTTGTCAAGGAGGTCAGGCGGGATGATCCGAATGGTCCCTTCTGGCCTTAAACTCTAGGAATACCCAGGGTCTGGAGTCCCAGCCAGGCTCTGACCACTAGACCACGTTTGCAGGGCTGTGGGGAAGGCCTCTCTGCTTCCAGCACTGAGTATTGCATAGCAAAAGCCGTCCATCTGCAGTCCTTGTCTGGTCCCCTTCTCCATAATATCTGAGCCCCTCACAATGAGGTGTTCTTACCCTCACAAGACCCCTGGGAGGGAGGGCAGGGCTATGACCTCGTTGTACAGATGGAGAACAGAGACTAAGGGACATGCCCTGGGTCACACAGGGAGACTGTAGCAGAGCAGGGACTTGAAACCAGGTTTCCCACACTAGCGCCCTACCTAATGCACCACCCTTCCTCTCTGCACCCTCTTCCTGTAACCTTCAAACACTTGTTCCTTGCATCACACCCAACAAGGAACTGTGTCTGTTTCTGTTTCACCCGCTCTGAAATCCCCAGTCAGGCACGCTCGGCCTTTTGTTGCTATGGAGTTTGTTTTGTTTGCTGCCTGCTGCAGACAGAGCCCGGCTGCCTTTTCACGAGGCCCGTTGCTCATCTGCTACCCTCAGCTCTTGCTGCTGACCCACCTGAGCTCACGAGGGGATCGCTCCGGATGTGTCGGCAGAGTCTCGTGGGGACAGGCACAGGGTCATTCAGGCAACGGGAAGAGAAGTAACACTGGAAAGGCAGGCGGGGTGTACTCCAGTGGACTCCTTACAGTAATGAAACCTAGTCACTTTTCAAACATGAGTTAAAAGCCGTTTTGAGACCGGGGTCTCCCTGCCAATTTCTGCGGCTTGACAACCACATTTTCCTGTTTTTCAAAAGTGTTTTTCTCTCCCTCGCTGCTGTGAGAAAGAACCATGCAGACAGGACGGGAAACTGACAAACCACCTGCCTCTGCAAAGGAAACCGTGAAACTGATTAGACCCAACATGTGGGCAATGTACAAAGCTAACACACTGGAAAACTGAGAGATTCTGCCCCCCCCAACCTCTTTCAGTTATAGTGATCTTAGCTGTCACTTGTAACAGCAGTGAGGGGGAAACCATGGACCATGGCCCCACTGCACACACAGAACAAAATCTCCAGGTACTGCACCTTTTTAAGTTGGTCACATTTCTTTAATCGTAAAAAGCTCAAAAGACGAACAAACCAGCGTAAGCGCTAAATACTATTACAACTTGCAGGGGTACCTCACATACGTCAGGTGATAAAAGCAAAGAAATAAATCCTTTAAAATATTGGCCCCTACCTACCTTTGTCTTAAATGATGAGCCATAACAACCTCTTAGCACATCTTACGGCACCGTTTATTCCAGGCATGTACTGTGATCTCTGGCAGGCTTACTAGGTGATTAGGAGGCAGAGTGGTTGGAGAAAAGGCCGAATACATTTAGCTGTAGGAGCATTCAGCTCACACCAAGTCTCCTCAGGCTTCTGGAAACATTTAGCTTGCACTGAGCATGCTCAGACACAGATCTCATGCTAGGCCAGGTCTACACTTAAAAGTTTTGCCGGCATGCGGTGCTGGTTGGGGTACCATTGTTTTTATGATGCAGCTGGGCCAGCAAAAGCCCTCGTGTAGACGCAGTTATACTGGCAAAAACCTGCTTTCGTCCGATTTCAAACTGGGATGAGCGGTGCCGACAAAAGCTCCTTTGTGCTGGTATAACTGTGTCTACGCTAGCCGGATTTTGAAGGTGTAGCGACAGTGGCAGTGTTTTCAAGTACAGACAAGGCCTGTAAGTACAGTCAGACCCACACCAGTATTATATGGGCTCCATCACACACTCACTCCCCTGCTAGTCAACCGAGATCTGATTCCCTCCAGTCTTGCACAGTCACTTACGTATGTGCAAAGTGGGTGTCAAACGCTACTGGTTTGATGCACAAGCTTTGCACAGGTTTAAAGGATGGTTTAAGGTTGAGGGCGCTGGGGCACCCTGAGCCTCAGTTTACCTAGCTGTATGGTCATTTTTATCTGCCTCCACCCAGAGTCATGGTGGGAATCAACATTTTATGACTTACTGGAGCAAGGATTTATTCGTTAGCATGGCCGATGTTTCAAAGATGTTAGTTGCCAAGCCTCAGTATTACGTATTAATAATTTTCCTTATTCTGCTTTGTTTCCTCAGCCTGGGTCTCTTTTACCTCTCTGGTTCCAAGTGCCCCTGGGCTTTCGCTTGTACTGGGAAAAAGAACATTCACAAGAGACACAACGGGAGGAAGAATCGTTGATCTATTTGGCCCCGATCTATTTGGCCACAGGAGTTAGGCCCAGATCCTCACAAGGCCTAACTCTCTTCACTCAGCACCTAAATACCACTCAGGCCTTAGTCCCACTGAACTCCACAGAAATACTCGTGTGCACCAAGTTAAGCAAGTGGGTGTTTGCAGGATCACGGCCACAGACAGAAGGACACCCCTTGGGTCAGCAGCCAGTCCGATCCTGCCCCCCTGCATTTCCCAGAACCAGGAATGGAGGGAACTAGAGATGGATAACCCCCCTCGGAGCTCCTCCTGGCCCTACAGCCCAATTACAAGTGCTCCGTCCGGTTGGTCCATCCCAAGTGATGGGGTCCCAGCCAGGCCCTCCCCCAGGGCCGCTATTGCCACACCCCAAAGCCCCAGCGTAAGTGTTCCCCTGCTCAGTTCCACCCCAATCGTTCCTAGTTACGGCCCTTTGCACAGGAACACCAGTGTACACAGAGACGGCAGCAGGGCCCCGGGGGTTAATTAGCCTCCCCAGGGCAGATTCTCTCCAGGGCTCCTGTTTTTACACACACTCTGAGTCACGGAGTTGTGCGCGTTGCCTGGGCTGGCGTCTCCAGGCTCTGGGTGGGTTTCCACTGAAGGGGAAATAGACCCACAGAGACACACACAGCTGCTTCCCACCATCCACAGGGGGTGGGGGACTTCAGCCAGGTGCCTAGCAGGGCCCTGGGTGCTGGAGGGAGAGAGGCTGGAGACTGAAGTTGAGGAATTCCGGTGGGGGGGGGCTGGAAGAGGCAAATGCTGGGGGCTGGGAAGAAAGAAGGGTGCAGGATATGGGGGGGTTGAAAAAGGAGGGTGGTGGGGCTGTGGATTAAGGAGGGGGCTGGATATTGAGGGGCTGGGGAACCAGAGGAAGACTGCATACTGGGGGTGCTGGGGACTGAGGGGGTGGATATGGGGAGCCTAGATGGGAGAAGGGTTAGGGAGGACAAGGGGGCTGGGGGGCTGGAGAGGGGAGGCTGGGAAGGAGACGGGGGGCTGGAGAGGA